TGGTTGATATTCCTGAATAAAAAATCTAGAATAAAAATATTGTATAAATAAACAACTGTGCATCTTTTGGTGATAATGATAGCATTGATACATTGATACAAAATTTGTTGGCAGAAATGGGGAGGAGAGGTTTTCCCTCACTTAGGGGTCTATTCACGAAGCTGCCGAGGGCAGCCGAGTGAATCGATCGGGAGCTGTACGGGGTCCTGGGGCCAAAGCTAGCCGAAGGGTCGGCGGAAGCTACGGCCAGATCCTTCGGCAGCTTCGTGAATAGACCCCTTAGTAGATTAAAAAAAAAAACCTTAAGGTGGGTGTTCTACATCACTATGGGGTTGTTTAAACATTTGTGTAAAGGTTAGAGGGGGCATGCAAGTAGGTAAAAAGAGAAAATGGGAGAGGGAGTAAAAAGTGTGAGTGGTGGGGGGTATTGGAGGGTCTTTGGGGTTTTGGAAGGGGAAGAGGGTGTGGTGTCCACTTGATTGGTTAGGATGTTCCAATAGTTGTAGGGTTTCTTTTGGGGAGATTTCAGCATACTTTCCTATCCAAGTAAGAGGACGCAAGAAGTGAGGGAAAATGTACTCAATAGAGACACAGGAAGCAATAAAAACTGTCAGAGGTTCTAGAATTGCAGGATTTAGGCATCAATTGATTGCCAACACATGCTTGCTTTTTATTATTTATATAATCCAGAGTGATAGTACAACTTACACCATGGACTTGCGTGAAGAGGAATTTCTGCTGGAGTTGTTAAGGCGAGCTTCTACAGTCTTTTAAGAGCCATATACCTAACCTGAAACCAATTATTGGGATGATTTATATATTATAATATGCAAATAATCCTTTTCCAACTTGCTATTTATTTATCTTTTTTCTAGAGATCCAAACACAATTTTTAGAGGCAACTCGTTAACATCAAAATGTATAGATGAAACCATGAAACTGGCTGGGATGCATTATCTGCAAGTTACGTTAAAGCCTATTATAGATGAGGTAAATAATGTAATCTTTTTCCATGCGCATACATGTAATGTTTTCATTATTTCCCAAGATTAATTATGTTCAGTAAAAAAAATGCAAGTTGTCCAAACAATTGGCATGCACCTCCGTTCTTACCACATAATATACACTTTTATTTAGAATAGAAGATATGCACAGTTAAAGTGCACCTGTGCCAAGACATTAAACAATTTACATATGCCCAAGAAGCAATAAAAGAGCTTTAAAACAAGCCCTCCCTGACCTCTCTAGCTGCATGTACATTGAAGAAATTCATTCTCAAAGATCCTCAAGGATCTCAGCTTAGAAACACCTTCTGTATGTTTACATTAGAGGCAGACAGCCTGCCAAGATTCTTTGCAAAGGAAATGTCAGTAAATAAGGTGAACCTGTGTTCACTTTGAATACTCAATTTTGTTTAAGGGAAATTATTAAATCAGGGTTTTTGCTATTACATGATTGGTTTATGGATGTAAACATAGCTTTACCCTATTTTTTTATGCTCAGTAAAAATATACTATGTTAAGTGAATTGTATCTACTCCTTTAGGAAATCAGCAAAGTTCTGAAGCTAGCAGTTCCGCATGGCAGCCAGGCAAGGGTCAACGATAGCAGCCTCCATATTTTGTTCATGAGAGCTTTTTTACATGACCTTTCCCAAGACATGTCTTAATGTAAACATGAGGAACTGTTCTGGAATCAATCTGCAATGTGGACTTCACATATTCATTGCTCCAGAACACTAGTAATCACTTAATACCCAAATAATACCTGATTATTACAATCATTGCTCGTGTTCGCTGAATGCTATCAATGTTCGTGTTGCTAAACTCCTCTAGTTACCTGGCGGCCATGTAGTCACTGACCCAGAGCAGTATACAGAGAAGTACTTTTTTTTGTCCGTATGATCGTAGCAAAAAAACCACATTCATCTTGTAGTTAAAATAATCTATACCACCATTATCATTTAAAGGGTAATTACACTTTCCCAGGCACATTTTAGAAAATGAAATTACCCCACCTATTTGCCCCCTCTCCCCCTCCTGCTGCTCTTATCCCTTCGCGCCTCTTGGTGTACAGTCCATACACTGTACACAACATAGAAGCCCTGCAGTAGGTATTTCAAATTACCCTCACAAATGGAGAGCATTCATTGGTCAGCGCAGTTTAAAGTTGACCATGCTGACCAATGAATGCTCTCCATTTGCGAGAGTAATTTGAAATACCTATCACAAGGCTGCGATACAGTGTACAAAACCGTACATCGGGAGCGTGGAGGGGAAGCAGCATTCGTTCAAAGGTAATAGCAGCGGGAGGGGGGAGAGGAGGCAGATTGGTGGGGGTAATTCTATTTTTCCAAATTTGCCTGGGAAAGTGGAATTACCCTGTAATGTCACAAACAGTGCTGCTTAAAGTACAACTCCACTCATTAATTTAGCAATTGTGGGTCATATAGGGAATGATTCTTTCCCCCATTTGGCCTTTTGCAGCTGTCCAGAACCCCAGGAGAAAGATGTATTTTTTTCACTTCTCGTCCATACCTCTTCATTGAACCTTATACACATATTGAAAATGCTGTAGAGAGCTGATGATACCATAAATCTGATAAAAGCGCCTAGAAGATTTATCAAAGGAAGAGTGCCTTCCAGAGAGAGGTAGCTCACAGCTATTGTGGTTGGTAAAGGGGTCTGCGGGGTAATGGACAGCAGATAAGAGTTGGTAAAAAACTGTTGAACTCCATTTTAAAGTTATCATTTATGTGGTTATAAGAATTCTTGCCATAAACCCAGTGGACTGCATATGATTGGCTCTTCAGTGTTTGCTGGCTTTGATTATTTACCAGCTTGCTTTGCTGTGTCCTATGGGTTAATGCTTAACTACAAATTCCCGCATATATTATTAAAAGAAGTGTATTTCATCACAGGCTAGCCACAATGTGCTGCCTTATATCTTACACATTGAATGAAGCTAAAGAATTCTCTCTCCTTGACACTGACACTGATTTTCTGTTTTCCTCTTTGTGTGAAAGCTGTTTCAGCACAGAAAGTGCTCTCTACAGAAATCCTGACAAGAGCAGGCAGCCTGTAGAAATACATGGGGAATACATTTGACTATCGCAAGGTTTCTTGCCAAAACCATTACATCTGGGTTCCATGGAAAACAAGGAATTCCGTGAGAGCTTCCATTATTTATTATGAAGCTCCAGGCAGTTGTTTAAGCGTTTGTAATCTGAACTGACCAACTGTGCATGTAACTAATTATAGCTGTTTATCAGAATGCAGCTTGTCATAGAGAGTTAACACATTCAAGTCTGTATGTGCGTCTTTCTGTTTAGGAGTTTAGGAGGCACATACCAAGACCCAGAAATGCCAGCCAGGCATCTTTATTCAGATCATGTGAGTACAGCCTTAAAACAGAAGTTCAGGCAAATAAAATCTTAACTTAAAATCTTAACCCTTGCATTGGTGCTACCCCACGCACTGCAAGGGTTAAATACTAATTTTGGCTATGGTGCTAAAATAACAGTTATACTCACCCTAACTGTGGTTTGCTCTTAGACCAGTCTCTTCAGATTTGCTCCCCCTCGATCCAGTGGTCTAAGGTCCTGTGAGTCATCACCAGGGCCGGTGCTAGGATACTTGCCTACACAGGCAAGGTGAATTTTTGCGCCTCCCCCCTCCCCCTCCCCGACCCCTGTAAAAACGGGGCATTTTGACAAGTACTTGTACTTATCAAAATCCCCCGATGTTTGCGCTATGGCTTTTTTTTTTTCCACTTACCTTCGGCGCGGGAGAGCAGCGGCGAGTCAGCGCTGGTCCGGTGGGAGGAGCTCCAGGTGGGGTCCTTATTTAGCTGGCCGGCGGCATTTTGCAAACATCGGGGCATTTTGACAAGTACTTGTCAAAATGCCCTGTTTTTTCCGTCCTCACCCTGCAGCGCCCTCAGGCGGCCGCCTGACTTGCCTTGCGGTAGTGCCGGGCCTGGTCATCACCTTTTATACAGTATAAAGGATGTAAGGACCCCAAGCTATATTTCATTGCTGGAGCGGAGGAGGAGACAGGCCGGAGGGAGCAGTGTTGGAGCAAGTTGGGATCATGGTTCAGGTGAGTATAACTTTGTTATTTTAGCTCCCTAGACAAAACGAGCACCTAACCCTTGTAGTGTGGGGGTAGCCCCACTGCAAGGGTTAAGATTTTCTTTGCCTGGAGTTCTGCTTTAACGTGCATTTCCGCCTTTGCAGCCCTATGTTCCCATTCATATCGCATACCTAAAATGTATTAAACGGTTTCTGGTTGTTTCTTTGGAGCAGGATTATACACAGGACTCTATAGGCAGATTGTATTGTTCAGAATAACCTGCAATGTGCCAATTTAGGGACACTTTAGGAACAGATTGGTTTAAATATGCATCAACATTCAATGTACAACCTAAGCCTTGATATCTTTAACAGTGTGCACATCTAATTTACAAGTAATAATGAAGTCCTGCAAGCATAGTACAAACATTAACTCCAGTCCCTTCCTTTGCATAGCATAGAAAGGAAAATCTAAGTACGATTTTTATAGGATTTTTTACCACATAAAAAAAGTAAGCAGCATTTTGTATGATTGTTTTTTCCGTTTTGCTATGTGAATGGGAACTTGCAACAGATATAAATAACCTCCATTGCTGTTTGTCTTACAAATGAGAATTAGGTCACAGCATTCAGTTGTATAAACATCTTAAAGCTGATAATCAAGAAGTAGGGTGGTCAAACATTCCAAAGTCAATGTATTTCAGGGGAGAGTGGCAGTAACCCTAAAATATCCAACACAACCTATTTCCCCCATAGGGCATTTCGTTGGGAAGGCTGATTCAAATTGCTCATATCTACAAGCAATCATATCAAGCCTATAGGGAATATGAGGAAAATATAAAGGTTGCCTTTTCAACCTCCTTCCAGAAGTGCTAGCTGCCAGGCTGTCATTCTGATCCTATGGCTTCCTGATCTGCATACTTATTTCAGACTAGTAACTCAGAATGTACAAATGCTAGAGAACCAGCGTGACAGCCATGCAGATGTTGTTGCTGTTGTTATTATTATTATTTAGGATTTATAAAGTGCCAAAAGTTTGCGCTGCGCTTTGCAAAATATGGGGAAGACAGTTCAGTGTAACCATCAGCTGTATGACTGGTAGTGACACTTCTGAGACACTATGGTGTCACAAAAGAACTGAATGAGATGCGTTTTGCTTGGGGGTATACTATAAATAGGAGATACAAAAAGTTATCCAGTTATGTACAATAAAATTCCATACAAGAGGATTAGAAGGGCTGCTCATAAGAGCTTACAGTCTAAAAGAGGAAGGTCAGCAGTGGCAGCATGCAAATTATTGTGACATATTTCATTTAAATTGTACCGTTATAGGAGATGCCTTTACTAATTTGAAAGGCGCAAGCTTCAAGCCTGTCTTCTTGATCCTGTCTTCACTGCCTAGTGAGTCAATGTCATGCGATGGGCAATAAAGTCTGAAACCTCTACGTTCCCATCCTGTTGGCTATTCAGGTCAACAACTAATCAAGTAGTGAAGCCAATGAGAGTGATTGCCCTGGAACCTGCACCTTTAAATATCGGCAATGGCAACTCATACGTCTATCTTCACATGCTGCTCCTAACCTTAGAATCATGGAAATAACAGCACATAGAAAAGAACTCCAGGCAAATAGAAACTTACACTTGCAGTGGGGCAAGATTTAAGTGCTCATTTTGTTCTAGGGGCAGAATAAAACAGAATTACTTACCTGATCCCAGCTTCCTCTGGGCTGGTAGACCAGTCCCCACAGTCTTCTCCCCTAGACTTCGGTGGTCTAAGGATGCTGCCGTCATCACATCCTATGCAGGTCCATTGACTTTCATGAGATGTGAGGAGACCAAGGGACATTTCATAGCAGGAGTGGAGGGGGAGAGAGGTGAGCACTGACCAACAAGGTAAGTAATACAGCCCCATAGACAAAATGAGCATGTAAAGGATCATTTAAGCCTCGTATCTTTTTGCATATATTTACTGCTAGCAAGCAGTAGATATATGCAAAAACATTGAAGAAAAAAAAAAAAGAACCAAATAGGTTAAACTTACCTGTGTCCCCGCCGCGCGCTCCTGTCCGAAGATCTGAAGATTCTCGGGCTGCCGCAAAGGACCATGGGGCGAGTGCACGCAAAGTTCAGATCTTCGGTTGGGAGAAGAGGAGAGACACAGGGTTAGTCCAGGGCCGGATTCACTCTCTCTGCTGCCCCAAGACCAGGTTCCTCAATACGCCTCTCTACCTGCCAAAAAGGACCCCCCATGGAGAATGGAACACTTGCAGGCTGTATACAAAATAAGCGGCGGCCTCCCCGCTGTACATTTAGCTCTGCTTACCCAAAGCAGGGCTAAATGTAGAAAACAACTACCCGCCTGATGCCCGGAACTGCATGTCCCTGGCATCGGGAGATAGGAATTCCACATCCCTGCTGCCCCTTTACTCCCTTCCGATCACTGCAAACGGGCATTGTGGCACACCGGCCCGTTCGGCACTTGTCAAACAAGCAGGCCACTAACCCGCCGAGAATCGTACGATTCTCGGCGGGTTTTCAAGCCTGCTTGTTCGATGGAAGACGTGCGACCGTACAGTAGAAACGGTCGCACGCCTTCCATACACTGTACGATTATTGTACGATCGCGGGATTTCCCGCGATTCTCGTACGAGAATCGTACAGTGTATGGGCACCTTAAGTGTTTTATTTGCACGCAGCTCTTCTTTAAGAGTAATACAACCTAAATACAATTCCAAAAATATAGATCCTGTACACATATGGGAATTTTACATGTTTATAAATAAATAACATATTTTAAGTTTACTTGTCTTTTAAATGTCTGTCCAATCTATTGTTTTGTCTTTTTAAAAGATCATATATAGTGGTTACAGAAAAAAAAATGGCATAGATAATTGTGCATCTCTTATTATTATTGTCCCCACGCACAAAGCACCATTTTCAGTTATGTGAGAATACAGTGTCTGAGAGGTGTCTCTACTAGTCATACAGCCAGCGGTTACACCCTGTTTATATCTCCTTGCAGAGAAATACTGGTCAACCTGAGACTATAATCTCATGAGAGTCTGATTATCAAGAAGTAACCGCACATTTCCTCTCCCAGTGACTCAGCCCCTGCAATCTGTGAGGCCCATCGCTCTTTAGGGAGTTCAGCCTTATCGTACAGGAACAGTAATGCAGAATGCCCTCTGTTGGGCAAAGCATGTTATGCACTGCTTCAAATGTGTTTTTAGTATTTAGCAGAGTAAAGTCAGGAACGTAAATCTAAATCTGTATACTAGCATATTAATAGTTGTAAGGCAGGAGGGGGCAACTCCGGCCCTCCAGCTGTGCTTTAAAGTGGACCTTTACACTAAAAAATCAAATTCTACCAATGCATCCCTCTATGTATGATGATTAATAATAACATAGACATATCCGGTGTAAAATGCTGTGACTTACACCTGGCATGTCTATGTTATTATTCATCATCATACATAGAAATACTTACACTTGCAGAGCATTCACTTTCTGCTTTGAAAGGGCAAAATGACTTTAGTGTGCCAAAACAATGCACACTGGGATTGGCTTGTTATCAGCAGAGCCTTGCTGGGAAATCTTATCTGTAAACTCATGAGATCTCAGGGAACTACATGTTCCTCCCCTCCACTTGTAGTTCCACAACAGCTGGAGGGCCATAGTTGCCCACCTCTGCTGTAAGGCATGGGACACTGTTTGGTGAGTCCATAATGCAGAAGTATTCAATATGCAGCTTAAAAGAGATGTATTTTGTTTTAATTTGTACTGCAGCTCTGAATGAGCACCACAGAAAACAATGATATTTTTTTGTCATGCAGTGCAATATACCACACACGTTATATTTCTAAGTGAGTACAGGGCCCAATTGTGTCAATAATGGTTTTCAAAAATGTGTTTTGCCTGATTTTACATTTCGGTTGCTGTCTGAGCACTAGTGAATACAAAGCAGACTTCTGACAATATGAGATGATTTTGCAAGGCTATCAGATCATCATTACTAAATCTCGACTCTTTATTAATATGCTTGTTTGCCTTAGATATGCGAATTGCATAAACCCTGTGAGATCGATCCAGTGAAGTTAAAGGATGGAGAAAACTTAGAAACAAACAAGGTAAGAAAACGACACACATTCCTTTCAGTATAAGTAGTCCCAGAATTGTTATCTATGTGGAAGACGTGGTCGCCTAGTCATCTCTGAAAGTGGTGTATGAGTATGTCCCTGTACACTGCAATAGGGGACCTCCTCCACATTTCTCGGCCTGAGCTTAAACTGATTCAGCATGTTTGCTGAAAAGGGAATTCTCACTTGTAGACGTTTGGTGATGTTTATTGTAAATAACCACTTAAGTCCCCAAAGCCTTTTCTACCATAGACCACATACAACATACAGCTTCACACCATAGAACACTTTTGTATTTAAAGCTGAAGTTTAGTCTGCTTATAATTTTCCTTCCCTGGCTCCTCTTTCAGACCCTCAATAATATGATGATGAAATTTTTTAAATAAAATTTTTACATTTACATTACATACTGTACATTATTTTAGACTCAGTGATGTGATCCCTGGGTTGCTGTTCTTCTTTATGCATGGCTGGTGGGAGGGGCTGGCAGGGTGCTGTGATGTTTTCAGAAAGCTATAAACAGCACCCTGCTGGCCCCTCCCACCAGCCATGCATAAAGAAGAACAGCAACCCAGTGATCACATTACTGAGTCTAAAATAATGTATGTAATGTAAATATAAAATTTTTATTTATGCCTCCGTACTCCTTCTCAAGAGTTCTCATCCTTGCTGGAAGCAGCAGGCTTACTCTTGGGAAGAGCTATTCAAATATCAAAATGCCTTTGATGAGGGTAATCAATCTGTAGGAGTGGGTGTTCCTATGCACACTGCATTTGCATGCATACTGCGCTAGATAATGCCACATGTGATGCTGAGCCTCAATGATTGAAAGAGCAATAAATGAAAGGGGCAAGTTTGGAAAATTATGGCTGGTGAAGAAGGTACAAGATGATGCTGGAAGTCCTGCGCTAGGAAATAAGGAGGACCCTGTCTAACTTGCTGCAGCTTCTAATGCACACTGTGAGAAGTTCACAATGTGCAGTGCGAGTAATTTCAGTACACGGGAGAAGGCTGTGCAGCTGTGCAAGACTGAAGGGACAGCTGGAGTTCAGCTTTGTATGTATAGCCTAATATATTATAGTTCTTTTATTTGTTAGCTGATTTTTCTGTCACTCTTTCCAGTGCAGCTTTTCATTAATGCAGGTGCAGGGAGTCATGGTTCACCTTGCAGTTTGGAGACATTCTTTCCATTTCGACATTACATTGCTGTACACACAGGAAAAGATGTTTGTGTAAACTGTTAGGATACCATTAAGTTCAGTTTGTATAGTCAGGAATTAGTACAATAATATAATTTTCAAAGGCTTGTCATCTCAAAAATTCTGCATGACTTTGTGCCCACTGTTTAATCTAAAACCAAAATTCCAGCAGTGAGTGGGACCTGTTTGTCTTCTCCAGAAGAAGACAGTTAAAGTCAGTCTGAGAGATCACACCATTGGAGTACATAGGAAATATTAGACACCACCGGGTGATGTAACCCTGCATCATCTTCTGAAACTTGAAATATCAGTTTTAAGCGGACGCACCTTTAATTACTTTTAAAGTATTTTGACCTGTCACTTGTAAGAGTATGAGTGACACTATACTTGTAGCACATGTTTCCTTGCATAAAAAAAACATTGATAGCAATGGCATATATGTATGTTGAGGTACCAATTAAGATACCTAACATTGCATTAGCATTGGTTACATACCTAAGTGTAACCTCTATATTTCATTCGGAAGAGAGGCTGACTGCATACTATTCTCGCATTGATTACAGCTATACCTTGCATTTATTTAGTTGCCTGGTTATATAAATTACTGCTAATATTCTTAGGATTCATTCATACCTCTCTAGCACAGTGTGTTATTGTAATATGCATCTTACCTTAACACACTTTAACATGCTTTACATAAAGTATTCCATCAGGTTAATGTTACATAATTCTTCTGGTGCTGGTGCTATTATTTAAAGGACTCAAAGTCTAAATTGGGGTAAATTAGTTGAACAGCCCCATGTTAAGAGCTTTGATGTCTAAAGTCAGTTCAGTTAACCATACTGCAGTATTTGGTTTTGTCACAACACCACACATAGTGTATAACACAATAGTAGTGTTATATTGCTGTGGGGCTCCTATTTCTATACAAATAGTTTCTTGGTTAGTTTCAAAGCTCATGATTATCATACAAACATATTTTCCCTAGTATTAGTTAGTCACATTCAACTGGATTTGTTTAGTAATGTTGAATCGGCATCTGTGGTTAAAACGTAGGTCGGCCCTGCAATCCGCAAATTTTCTTGCTGTTCTTTTCTATTCCTATGCCAGTTTTAGAATGTACTCCCACAATGATTGGCAGTATATCTGTAAAGGTTTTATTTATCCTGATCATGGTATAGCTAGTATTAGTTAAAGGTTACTTGACCAGCTGAATGTGATCAGTTCAATGTAAGTGCTGCAGGTACTACTAGCCTCCCTTAGTACTAAAACTGTTTTACTCCTCATTTTGCAAATAGTTATTTGCATTGCACTTCAACAGATATGTTTTGTGTATATTTATTTAGTCCTAAATCTTAACCAGTTTTCATCATGCATTAAATACCAACAGTATATACATACACTTATGTTTACATGTTAGGTCAGAAGGAAACATAGAAAATCTATTCATGTGTGCCTTTCTCTCCTGTGTACTTAGGAAATGTCTAATAAGTCATTATGCCCCAATTTGCCTGGGAGGTGGGCTGTAAAATCCCATCTTTACATATGTAAATTAGGCAATCCTCTGGAGATTGGGCTTAATTCTGCATCCAAGGCTGTAGAGTAGAATAGTAACATCACCTCCCTGTGAGCAGCACAAGGCAATATGGATTCTGTAGATTTGAGTTATATGGGTGCAAATTACTGTGGCCTTTATTCTTGCCAGGAATGGAGACTAAGCAATGTCTCCAGTTATTTGTGTTTGTTGTACCTGTACGTTGATGTTTAGGGAGCATCAAGAAGGTGTGGTAGGGCAAGGCATATTCAAAATGATTATTTCCCATTCCACTAAGTAGGAAGCATGATCTCTGAGGTTAAGTGCCCATTCACACCATGTCCGGATTATCTCCAGACCAGACCAGATTGTTTCCAGACCCAAAATGCATCCTAATGTATCCCTATGCTATTTCTGGCCTCTGTTCACACCAGCGCAGTCCGTTCCAGACCAGACCAGAAAAATACGGCTTGTCTTATTTTGCCTGGTCTGGAATGCACTGGAACGCATAGAAACGCATCAAAAAACTGTAATGCACTGGAACGCAGCTGTAAGACTATTTTAAGCTATAAAAAAAAAAAATGCGGTAAAAACACAATGCACGGCGTTCCAGATCTGGTCTGGAAAATGGTGTGAACATGCCCTTAAGGTGTTGTTATGAATGATCCATGCAAAAGGAATTACCTCTACATCTAATTCATATTTAACTGTCAGGAGAAGCCCATGCGACCCGCAGGTGATAATTACTGTGCTGCGAATCTTTGCATTGGAAAGGTTCAAATGACCAGGCCCTAGCTATGTTAAAAAGAAATTAGACTTACTGGCTACCAAACAGGCTCCAATAAAAGCAACAATTTAACAGATTTGAACCTTACATAGGCCATGTAGGGGTTGACTAGAGAAAATGAGCACTTCCAAATAATGGAAATGCTCAATGTTACACACAGAGACACACTGAACCATTGATTGTTCCCCTTTGCAGTGGATAAAGGAGGCAAATCTTTCAAAACACGTCTGTCATACTGGTTTGTCGGCCAAAGCTAGGAAGCAATGGCTACTGGCAGAAGATGATTGGAGAGGGAACAGGCCTCTTAGCTTCACATAGAGATTTGCCCATCTATGACCATCCATAGTTTTGCAAGAGCCAGCTGGCCTAAAGCTAACATCTACTAGAAAAGTATGGAAGAATCCCTTGCTGACTTCCTCTTCTGAGCATACTAGTTTCCTGGCTGTCGGTGGTTTCAGTAGTTTCTGAATCACTAACCCAGAACAGGTATGCAGATTAGGAGCTCTGATATTCAGATCTGCATGCTGGATCTGGGTCACTCTCTCATAAAGTATTGAACCGAGATTCAGCCATGCAACCAGCATTTGCTAGTGGGCTGGTCAGCAATATAAGCCTACATATTCCTCCCGGCACTTGTTTCTTTTAAATGTTTATTGTACACCAGGATAATTATTTTCTTTTGGGTTCATTTAGGAAAACTTGAAGAATTACGTTGACCAGATTTTTAACGTCATTACAAAATCCGGAGTAAGCTGCCCTACTGTTATGTGTGACATTTTCTTCTCTCTGAGAGAATCTGCAGCAAAACGCTTTCAAGGTAAGCATACACCAGAGATCTTGCCCAATACTGTATCTTGAAAAGATATAAATAAGACAGAATACAGTACGCAGAAAGCTCAGCTTGCTGGTGTTGCTTCCTGAAAGCTATGTGTGTGACCAAGAATTTGCTGTGATTAGTGCATTTCATAAATACAGTGAAGCATGAGAAGTTCACATACTATGATAGAATTCACGCACTGCTGAGCTTCTAGACCCCTTTGAGTTCATTTCACCATGTTTCCTAAGTGCTTTTTATCAGAATGCCAATAAACTCATTGAAGGGCTTCATACAAAAGCATTAAAACCCTTCTCACATCTTCTCAGTACTAACACGCTTAAACCAAGTCTGCCTCTGTCCAGTCTGTGTTTTTCTACCTTACGAGGCAAATTCTTTGTGGTGAAATCAAGGAAAAGGCACAGAAACAGCCCAGTGTGTACAGTCTTGAAAGTCGCCTTGGAGTGATGGAAAATAAATACTCCTGTATAAATCTTCAGCATCATCCATCTGTTCAAAAGTGCAGACTCACCGGGAAATGATTGTTGTCTTTGTAATAGAACCAAAGATTTCAGATTGGTCACATGCTGAGAGATGTTTAAAAAAAAATCACTGTTAACTACACACACGCCAGCCCTTGTAAATCCATGGATACACACTACTAGATCGTTAAAGCGGTTTATATTGCACACTTTCATAGAACATTCAATTTAATCTTTAAAACTTCAACTTTTTTTCCCTTACAAGCTAATCATATAGTTTGTAGCATTGTAGTTTTGGACTTAATTTTAGATAGAATTGATTAAATTGAAAGCTGTATTCCACGCAGTATGTTTTCAAATATTGCCAAATAATGTGTCTTACGTACCTGGTAGATAGCTGTCCTGTCCCTTGGTTGACTGTCCCGTGGGGGGCACGTAGGGGTGGTGGTGCACGCAATCACAGAAGTGGGAAGTAGGTAGAGGAGACAGCGCCGCCAGCCGCGATGGTGATTCTGCCCTCTGCAGGCTCTGTATCTCCTCACCTGAGACGCTCTGGCTGGCATGCTGCCATTAACATCACTGGTTGCCAGAAGCTGAGCGGGACACCAGCCAGAGCGTCCCTGGTTGCTAAGAGCTGGGTGGGAAGATGTGTATGGCCTTAAACTGCAAACGTTGTGCAGCAAAGCAGCCACCCCACATGACCCACGCTGCCTCATTAAAGGGAGAACCCTGGCAGCATTGCAATAAAATATTAGCATTTTGGCTATGTTTTGCTCATATAATCTCTGAACCCTGCCTGCCTGCATTCTACACATTCTTCTGAAAGCTGTAGTGTTATAAAGATAATGCTTGTATTAGACTGCCCACTAGTTAAATCTGTATTACAGATGCAGTTCAGCAGTCAAGAGCAACAGCAGAGTCCATGTCAACGTGCATGCCATTTGTATCCTGATATATGTATGATATAGCTGCAGTTGTTCTGTTGATCTTAAATTTCAATAATTTCCTCCCAATTGATATTTGTGTATTGTGTCTGTTTCAGGTGACCCTGATGTAAGATACACGGCTGTGAGCAGCTTCATTTTTCTGCGGTTTTTTGCACCTGCCATCCTGTCTCCTAACCTGTTCCAGCTCAGCCCTCATCACCCAGTAAGTGATCCTTGTTTAGTTTCAGCAAAGTGTCAGAGAGCTGATTGAATGAACCTCCTGTGGTGAAGAGAGTGCAGAATGTTCCAGACAACAAGGGAGTGCATGACAAACAAGTGATAAACATCCCCCCCCATCAGATTGAAACAGTAGCTGAAGATAGTACAAAATGTTTATTCAATAACATATTAGATATTTCATTGTTTAAAGGAGAACTATGAGGTGAGTGCTTTTCACTCACCTCATAGTTCTAGCCGACCTGTGACAATGAGACTGTCACAGGTCGGCTCAGTAGATCGGGAGGTGAGCGAACACATACCGGCATTCGCTCACCTCTCGATCCTGTCACAGCCCTCTTCCCCCCCCCCCCCTCCAATCAACATTCAATAAAAAAAAAATAGTTTTATTGTTCAAAAAACACCTGTTTCATTACTGGATCTTTCAACTGGTCTTTGCTCTTAGTTTGCTGGGAGGGGCCAGCAGATGTCTGTAAACGTCATAGCATTTTTCCTTGGATCTTTTTCAAAAGGATTATATACAAGAACACATCCTCGGAATTCCTTCAGGCGTGACTTTAGCTGTGCACTTTAATGATTGGTTGACTGGTTGCAGGCATGTCTAAAGGATGCCAGGGATGTGTTCTTTTACATAAAGCTCAGGAACCAAATAATTGATGGCAGAGAAGGCTTATTCCTGTGACAGGGGTCCAGTGACAGCTATATTTAAAGGGTTATATTGTGGAAATGCAAATTTGCAGGGAATGAAGAGAAATCATTTTCAACTGAGTAGACCCCCATCACCCACTGGAACACAAATTGTGGGTATTAGAACTTTGTAACATGGGGCTGAGATGGTAAAAACAAACACAGAGTCTAAAGACAAAGAACACAGGCATCTCAGGAGTGCTTTGAAAGTTTGTGAATACCCAGACTAGGCTTTCATTGAAACATCAAGCAAAAACACAGGACCATCGAACAGAGAGGAGAATCAGAACACAGAGTAATATAGTTATCCCGTGTGTAGCTGGAGTATTGGAAAAACTCAGAAGATTCTTTAAGAAACATTGCTTCTCTTAATCTTTCAAGCCCAGCAGTACATTGAGACAGAAGCTTGTAGATCCAAAAGACCCAACACCCAAAAACAAGCAAAGTAACTTGGTATATGCAATGGAGTGTAGTGAAAATAACAAAGACCTGTGCAGCGGGTAGCTGAAATAATCTTTCAACAAACAAATGGCCCAACATAGAAGGGTAAATTCTACAGCTCAAGACTTTGCAGTTTTCCTACACCTTAATGAAAGGGACATTCTTTTGGAGACAGTGAGATGCACTTAAAAGAAGCCATCTATGTCAAACTGGAACAACTATCACTGAACAAAGGGCAGGACCTTTGACACCATCTGTCTTCCACACATAATGCCAGTTTAACATCTGTACCCCAGGATTTTAACAGTTCTCACATTCAACCACGTATATTGAAGACTTAACACCTATGAAGCCTTTCTGACACCAAGAATGGGATTATGTAACTTGGACAAGGTGGCTCCACAACTTTCATACCTCCCATCCTGTTCTTGGATGTTAACCTTTGCCTTTCCATGGTGATTGGATTAAGGTGTCTGTGCTACCTGTGTGGATAAAAATGTTGGGGTATTTTCTTGGCCCTTATTAGAACTGAAGAAGTGGCTTGGATAGGTTACAAAACATCTTCAACATTACAGAACAAGTCCAGTTACATGTGAGTACCTGCCACTAGATATACCATGACCTGGATAAATAAAAACCTTAATAGATAAACACAGGAGAGGACTTGCAAGGAGTTTGGGGAAAACAGGTAAGGCTGGAGTTCAATCTTAAACAGACCCTGTCAACAACTTAAAAATTTGCATGGACAAGCACAGAAAAATCAAGTATTTTAATTGCTTACTTGCAGTGTTTTTCTTTCTATAAAGTTAATTTTTGTTTACTACACGTGTGACTTTAAACTTCCTAGAAATTTTGCCTAGTCAATTACCTAGCACAGTCCCCCTCCCTCCTTGCACGTCATAACCCTCTCCTTTTCTGGGAGTTTCTAATAACTCTCTGCATCCTTAACTTCTCCACTCTCCCCTCACCTCCCTACATAACCGTTTATGTATCAGCCGGGGGAGGAGCAAAGGGGGATACTATAGCATGTCACTTGAGTGACAGTTCTGAGGCTGCTGACATCACATCCAAGATGGCAGCACCCAGTAAAAGTCTCAGGGCTTTTGGATGCCTACACATAGAAGACTTTTACAGGTAAGTAACATGCATAATATACTGTATATACTAATAGGGGGATATATTTTTTTTAAATGGGGTTTAAAGGGTCTGTTTAGGCTGTTTTTGTTATAGCATAAATATCCCTTGTATGTTTTCTTTACTTGTTTTATTTGTATTTTATTTGACTAAAAAAATCTACTAAGTTCAATTTTAGTGTAATAGTGTGTACAAAACCAACAATGCAGTCATATATGTGGCCCTGATTTAAGTTTCTTGTAATTCAGGATTTATTTAGATGTTCTGCAAATTCTTTAATATATCAATTTGAACTAAAATGAACACTTTCTTTATTAGATTGTGCAATATTAGATGAAATAGGCACAAGCCATTTAAAACTGACATTTCAGTTTTCGATTGATGCTGGAGAGTAAACCACCTGACAATGTATTTTATCTCTTGGTGACTCTGTTGGTGAGATCTTTGTGCCCTAGTCTTTGTTTCTACACACCTGACCTGGCTGTCATGAGCGGGGTGCTGGTCTCATTGTTGGATGTCATATTTTTTCATGCTATAGAGAATGTAACAGAAGGAGTTGCATATACAATGGTGATCAAGAATTATAGCAGGAAGATCTCACTGCTGGAGAAGCCAGGGGCCTTTTTTGTAGTAGTGACAATGTCTAGCTGGGGTAATTGACTCTGTGTCCAATGTCTTCTACAGGATCCACAGACATCCAGAACCTTAACACTTATCTCCAAGACCATACAAACACTGGGCAGCTTATCCAAGTCCAAATCAGTAAGTTCTGTTATACTGTTGTAGGTTTTTTTAGCCAAACACTAGAAGGTTAGTGGCGTGGAGCCTTTAACTCGGGGAAATCTGTGATTGTTTGAGTAGAATAAATTAACAGACCTTGGAGGCAGTTTGGGTCTATTTTTCAGGCCACTCCATGCCTAAATGTGTAAACTAAACTGTCTTGGAACCCATTCACACCTTTTGCGGTGTGTTAACGTTTATTGTTTCACATGGTAGAGTGAGCTGAGCTAAGGTAGCCCATTCAAATAAATGAGCTGTCAGCAAAACATCTTTTTTTGGCAATGCACTGCAGACGGTGTTTTGGAACTGCACTGCCTTAGTGTGTTGGGGCACCACAACATACATAACGTGTATTAGAGTGTGTTGTAGCAATGTGCTGCAAAGGTGCAAATGGGCCCGAAAAGTCTTGCAGTTTAAATCTGTTTGGCCAATAAAGAGTGTTTCCTGACTGGTAATGTTTCTGCTTCTATCTGTGGCTAACAGGATAAAGGAACAGTAGATTTTCTCTACATTATATTATTTATGAACTTCTGTGGTTGCCATGTGGTTCATGCTTGCATGAACTGAATGTTTACATTTTTTTCTATGAAATCCTCAGCAGTACTACCTATCTTGCATATATATATACAGTGTTAATATATATATATATTATGTAGTGTTTGCTACAATTTTTTCCCTATTTGTAAGGGAAAAATGTAAGATCATGCTGGACACATCTTTCTATATCTTGCTGCATTTGTTTTGTTTTCCTTTTTTTATGCTCTATTATGTATGTTATGTATGTTTATTTGAAAAATATAATCAAGTTTTTTTTTTTTTTTTAAAAGGAAGAATCAGATCTAAAAAGAGTAATAGAGTAATAGTGGGTCTAATTTATCAAAACACTTGAAATCACTGTGTTTCTCCACAGCAAAAAATGACTGTACATTAACACATACAGTTTGTAATATAAACATATTTAATGAATGAAGTTCAACATCGCTAGTTGTTATTATTATCATTAGTTACATATAGCATGAAATCTTCATACATTAGTTTTTAGGTGAAAATTACACACAAGTCAAATAGGACCCACAATTTAATACCCAATTCGTGGACTTTAAACTTTAAAAATATAGATAACTATGAATGGATATGAATTGTAAAACAATACCGATGTCAATATGAATCTGGATAACTGTGAGATTTACTACTAATAAACATACTAAGGTATTGCTGTAGAATACATGTATGCAGAAATTGGATACTCACAGGCATCAAGATCATTTAGGGCCTTTGTCCATTTTCATGCAGCCAGATACATGCATTGTAATGCATGAAAATGCATTACAAATAAAAAATCCTATTCTTTCATATGGGGCTGGTTTATATCTATGCAATTCTGCTTAGTGTTATAAGGAGATGGAAATTAAATGGGCCCAATCAGACCTACGCATGTCCATTACCACACATGCTACATGTATACAGAGCAGTGTGAATCCAACCTTGCAGCATGATCTCTACATAGCCATGGTGTTCAGTTTGATATCTTGACATTTCATTCATCTATCTGCTTCAATGCTTCATTTTCCCTGTCATTTATTTTTATTTTGTTTCATACATACAGTAGCTATTCAAAATACGAACAACAACAAAAAAATAGAAAAGATCTTTAGACATTATAGTTAGGTTGAGAAAAGACACCTGTCCATCAAGTTCAATAAAAAAAAAAAAAAACACTTTGCATCCTAAAGGTGCCCATACACTGCACGATTCTCGTATGAGAATCACGGGAAATCCCGCGATCGTACGATAATCGTGCAGTGTATGGAAGGCGTGCAACCGTTTCTACTCTACGGTCGCACGTCTTCCGTCGAACAAGCAGGCTGGAAAACCCGCCAGGAATCGTACGATTATCGGCGGGTTAGTGGCCTGCTTGTTCAACAACTGCCGAACGGGCCGGTGTGCGCACGCGCACACTGCCTGTTTGCAGTCATCGGAAGCCCGTCCCTCATTGCAGTGATCGGAAACCCGCCCCTCGTTGCAGTCATCAGAAGCCTGCCCCTCAGGGGGGCAGGCTTGCGATGATCGCAAGTACGATCTGCCTGTCCAAGATGGGAACTGACAGCTGCATGTGAGAAAGGGGCTTTAGAACCCTAAGGAAGGCAAGACAATAATAAAGATTGATACCATTTGCTCTAACAGGTCCCTGAGGTAATCGGATACTCCCTGGAACAACAATCTATAGTGTTAAAAAATATATCAGTATTCATATATTTTGTGCACTTAGAAACACATCTAGATCTATTTTAAAGCAATCTACGGAGTCAGCTAGAACCAGCTCCTGGAAGACTGAAGACCAGCTCCAGGAAGACTGCCCCACATGTTCAGCGCTCCTACTGTAAATAATTCTTACCATATGTGGATGAACACCCCCCTTTCTTCCAGTCACTTGTGTCTTTTGCAATGGCACTAAAGTGAATGGCTTTCCACTGAGTATTGACTGTTTATTTACAAGTTGATCATATCCCCTATTTATCATATCTTCTCAAGGGTAAATGCGTTCAGTTAAACTTTCCTCATCGCTGAGGTCCTACATGCCCTTCTTTGCACTCTTTCATGTTCTACAACATCTTTTTGTTGACTGAGCAATGTTAATCTTCAACCACTGCTCTTTATAGCACATCATAAAGAGTACATTTTGCCATTTGTTTATTTTAGCATTTCTCTTCCCACAGATCCATTATTTATGACACTTTTACCAAGGAGTGAACATCTGTTTAAACTCTTAGGGGAACATAGGTTATCCCAGGGCATGGTGCTGGGTCTTGTGTAATAGAACCGGGTTCTGGTATTTGTTGCTTCGTTATGTCTAGGCACAAGGATGAGTCACAAGAAAAATACACATCACAAGTCTTGTGATTTCCTCTAGATTAATGGATATAATCATCAGTAGAAGCTAAGCAAAATGTGCCTGTATCAGGATGGCATACTAATCTACTTTTTAGACTTACTGTGTTTTAAGAAGCCAGTAGGGAATGCTTTATGTTGCTATAGTCATAGCCAGTTCTTACGTTATGAATCATGTGCTTGTTCAAAGGACTACTATACCTAAAACATAAAAAATATTTTATGAGAGTTTTTGTTTGCATACACACAGATAGGTATTAGATGTGTATGTAGCATTGCTATGCATCCCATTGTTGTGTATTAGTTACCATTTAGGCTAAGGCTAAGGAGGCTAAGAAGTGATAGTTGACAGCATTCCTTTCAAAACTGGAAAAGACAATCAGTTGTTCATTCAAATAGTCCTGGATAGTCATTCTTCATTCAGATAGTCCAGGAACTCAGGGAACAGGTTCTACAAATGTACATATGTCAATTATGATGCTCCATTTGCAGTGCACCTCTCTCTAGTGGTCAGACAGGCATGGCACATTGCATTAAGAGATGTGGGCGAGCACTAACCAATACATTAATTTAGTAGTATGAGAGCTCCTGTTCTTTGTTTTATACCGTGAAATGTGGCTTTGGTTTTCCTTTAAGGTCATATACAGTATATTATTACTGTATTTCATTGTGATCATGCAAATGAATATGACAGCTTGCTTTAGAATACAACTGGGCCAACTGCTTACATGTCCACCTTTAACATTTGTAAAATCTCACAATACAAATAGGTAGTTATACTTAAATGCTATAAAT